AGCGATACGAGACCCATGCCTCGGAGTATCTCTAAAGCAACCAAACGTGTGTTTCAGACTAAGTGCCTGTTCTCCTTCGCTTAGATGACACTGGAAGCTTCTAGTGCCTGAAACCAGATGGTTTCAATAGATTACGTAATTTTGGTTATTTCTGCAGAACGAGCTCTTGCAATACTACACTCATTCTGAATACACAGCATATGAAATTACTGTCAGCCTTGTGAGTACACTTCACATTTTCTGCATAAAAGGGAATCACCTGAACCTCAGATGGAAGGAACTAACCTTATTTTCTGTGTATATTAAATTTCCTTTGACCAAAAGTTTGTAAATTGCTACAGAGATCAGGTACCTGCCCCAACTGCCTGTCTTCATAAGCAACACCACCTAAAGACAAGCACAATGTTTTACTGCTCATCTTGTTCCAAGCTGACTTTTATCTCGCAATGAGGTACATTGTTTTATACACAGTTCCTTTTTCTCCCCTCTGGCAAGATAAAAATCTACGCATTTTACAATGCTTTTATTATACACCAAACTTTCTTACTACAGTACTTCTCACTATAAAGCCAGCTCTGATATTGTATCAAATCAGTGTAATGTAGTTATGTAGCATAAAGTACACACAGCCCTAGGATACAAGCTGAAATGTGAGATAAAATGATTTAGATCCAAGAGATACAATACGTGGGATTTTTGTATTGTAAATTCCTGGCTGAAAAGTTTCTCAAAAATTGTATTGCTCATTCACATTTAGCAGGTATCCATCACAGACTTTAGATGAACTTACAATGAAAACGTTTATATTTCTGCATGCACCTCATGATAGCTAAATATAGACACTGTACTTCATTCAGATTCTGTCACACACCCAAAACATTTAATAATGCAGTCTGATGCCTCCAGGGTAAGGGAGAATGCAAATAAGATTTTGTTTCCTGCTTCACAGATACTTTCACCTCTAGATATTTGTTCCAGAAGGATACTAATCACAGGAAATGACCTAAAAATAATTAGTGTTTACAATTATACATACTAAATAAAGAGAACTAAATGTCGCTTGCCAAGTAGTTTTATATATATTTTAGGAAGTCTGAAAATGCAAAATCAGGCATTTTTTCCCCTGAACAGTAATGAAAGACGGTCATATAAACCGGAATCAGCCCATAATGGGCTACCAGCAACTGTTCCCTTTGCTGAAAAGACTGAATCACGCACCTTCACATAAACAAGTCCTATTAACCAGCTCTATTTTTTTAAGACTGAAACTAGGCATGAACTGTTAAAAAAATAAAAAAATCAACTTTTCTACAAGCATCATTTTGATCTCAGATAAGATATTAATCTGGTTGGTGAGTTACTACTTCCAAATCCAGGTCTAGGCCAACTCTGAAAATTCAAAGACAACATAGGCCAACAGCGAAAGGCAAAACGCCACAGAAAACCGCTCAAACAGAACACACCATTAAAAAAAAAAAAACCCAAAAAACCAACAAAACAAAGAGAGATTCCAGAAAAGGTCAAACACACATTAAATAAGGTGGGGTGACCAAAAGGCAAATTAGGAAAGACCCAATTTAAATTATAAACTTAAACCTTTGTGATGAGTCCAATAATCTCTATTTGCTCAATGAGCACCTCACTCTTTAGAAACAAATGCTGGCCAACCCTTCACGACTTCGGCAACAAACAGGGGAACAGGCCAGTAAGAAGAGATGTTACACAACCTCAGATCTGAAAGTTCGCACAAAATATTATTAACAGTAGTACCAGCAAAAAGCCAACAGGAAGAATGGCTAGCCTGACTTCTTAGAATGAGACAAGAAAGGCGCCAATTTGGACATGCAAACTGCACATCTGAAACAGCTTACAGTATTTCCACATTCTCACAGGATGTTGTAATTCAGGGTGCTTGTGCCACACAACCTTGTAGATCTGAATAAGCAACAGCTTGCAGTAAATTCAAAACAAACTCATTTCCAAGAATAAGATGTTTTCCCACAGATACGAGCAACAGGCTTCCAAGAGTTCCAGCATCCCATGATGCCTGGCTGAAAAGTTTGTAACTAACTGCCAAAATGATCACACACTAAAAGAGAAAAAAAAAGCCCCTTACATTTAAACACCAATAAAAAGGAAAACAATTTACCTTGCATTTGTTTGCAAAATCCAAAGAATATCTTCTATTTGCTTGGAAAGACTGTTTCAGAGTTAAATGATTTTATATACATATGCATACATATATACATTTATTTATAAAGATCTATAGTGACATTAACCATGAGCATGATATTTATGCTAGCATACTATTGTATTTACAGTAATACAATAAGATGGTGCTACACAACTAAAATGCCCATAAAAATGTTTCGTTTTACAAGTTGCCATACAAGGCCATACAAATAGGACTGACTGCAAAGTGTATTCATATCATTAATCAGTAAGAAAACAGTTTACTTGATTGCCACTGTGATTCTGGTATAGGACTCCTAAAGGATAGTAAAACTCACATAATTTTTCATTAATGCCAATGTATCAGAGAAAGAAATGACTTTGGCTCAGCTTGCGGGACTTCTGCTCAGGAAGAACACCTTTGATGGGTAAAATGAGCATGCAGAGGAATCGGCAATCAACAATTTAACATTTTCTTTACGGGCAGACCAGCACTGTAATAGCAGTAGGCAACAGCTTACAAGGAAGCACCTGAGATAATTACTCCTAAACATCCTTAGGTATTTTTCAAACCTCATTATCTGATTTAGATGGTTTAAACCTTTTAAAATAGGAAAATAATATACGTAAGTGCAGCACATTATCAGATGAAAGGTTTAGTTTTTCTTTTTTTTGACAGAAGGTTTTTGTTGGTATTGCAAGTTTCTGTTTACTTTTTTAAAACTGAGATACTTCATTTTGAAATGAAGCTTTAAAATTAAAAAAAATATATTTTACATTATGGTTCACATAGCAAAAACATATGAGACTCAAAACCTCACATATTAAAAATCCTAATTAAAAACCTCAATCAAATTTCACCACTAGGGTGTATTTCTTGCCATCGTGTTCAAAGTATTGAAGAAGTTACTGCGTCACTGCTTGCTTTTGCCACATTCAGCAGATGGGATACATAATCATACAAAGTATTCTTAATCTGCTCCGAGGGTAAGAAACTCAGATGCTCTAAATAACCAGAGAGGTTATTCGGGCAGATTACGAGATCTCACGTCATCAGTTACAGTCTCAGCTGACCGGATGGTAACTGGAAGTTGAGAAAACACTACCACTGTAATGCAGTCCCCAAAACGCTTCACTGCTCTTACAATACCTATTGGGAAATTATTTCAAAAACAGTTGCAAAGACAAAACAATTTCTTAGAGTATTTGTCAAATGTTGATGATTTAGTAAGGCAGAGATGGGGACATATTAACACAGGTACACCCATGGTGTATGGGCAACAGTGTCCAAACCAAAGATTTCAATTCATTATTTCAACTCCAGCATTACACTATGTTACTCAAAAGTAAGAATAAACAGAAAACTAACCTTCCACCATCAAAAGAGGATACTACCAACATATTATGTTAGGCTCATTTTTAGCCTTTTTTTTAAAACCCACCAAACAAACACACACACACACACCTCTGGGTAATTATTTTGCTGTGTGATGTCTTGAAGAGATTAATGCATCTTTGTTGCCAATCATCTAAGATGAAGTGAATAGTTCTACCAAAAAATACAACTTACTCTAGGATGGAATGAGTTGCAGCCTGTGGATGGTAACGGTACAGCAGGAGGCAATGGTTTACTCGAAAGACTTTACCGCCCTTTTGGATATGTTTATAAAAAAACAACAAATCTTCTGGAACACCCTGGAAGAGAAGCAGTTATTTCAAACTAGGAAGCGACCAGTATTCACAGTTACATCTGAAAACACGTTTGCTTTTTCTGCCAAATGAATAACGTTTAACATCATTTTATTTGTATTCTCTCTGTAGGTCACCATGAAGTTATCTAATGGGTCATTAAATAAACGTATCTGTAGAAAAGATAAAAGCAAGCAGTGCTATTTAAAAATGAGCTACCGCTGACCACAAGGACAGAGGTGGAAAAATAAACATCATCATTTAATTTCAACAGGGATATAAAGCTTGGTACAGGTTAGTCCCAAAAGAGAGCAGCCCAGCTGCTGAACAGTTCACGAAGCCTGAAATGCCAAGTAACCAAATAGTTTACTGAAAAGGATCAGTGACTTCAGAAGAGTGGGTTTTTCATTTCACTGGAATTATCGTTCTTTCTTTGGTTGCCAAATACGTACACTGGTCTCCACTAAGGAAAGGTGAATCAGGCCCCATAACAAGAGACCTTATTAAAAGCAACCTCAGAATGAGGCAACATCTGAAAACAACACTTTTTCTTGCAACTTGTTTCCACGGTACGTGTTTCCTAAAGGGACTGCAAGCTATACTGCCAAAACACTGCAAGAAAAAGTCTCCTAGAATTGTGGGTCTATCAGGCTTTAGGGCCTATTAGAGATTTCATATGCAACATTTTTCATCTAAAAATCAGAAAATCTTCATGCCAGAGACACAGTGTCAGAAGGACAATCTTAAAGCACATGGTATTCTATTACACGTCATAACATATGAAGCATAAACCCACCTTTAAAGACACAGCCCTATACTGAAGGTAAAAAAGTAGCATCTATTTACATTTTGCACCTGTGCAAATTCTTGAAACATGGCTAAACATTCATTTTTTCTATGTTTAAATACAGATTTTTCTTTCCTCCAGCCCAGTGTTTAAAAGGTCACACGATTTTATCAGGCTAAAAATATCTGACACATAAAACCAGGTGTGCCAAACAAAATATTTAAGTGTAGCATCCAGAAGAAGCCGAAAGATAACATGTCAAAGTTGAAAAGGAAAAGTAAAAGAAGGGAAGGATATTGAAATACATTTCCTTCTGTAGGCAATACCACATACATGAATAACAGGGGCATAAATCTCAACCTCAATTTTAGGTATTCTATTTCAACACAGAAAAATAATAAGAGCACAAGTTAAAAAAAAAAAAAAAGAAACAACTGAATTTTTTCCCCATTACCCACAGCGTCTGAGTTTCTTCCATAATTAAGAAAAGGAGATGCTCTAATTAAAGTGCTGGACATAAAATCCCTCTGTGGTTTCTTCTGGCCTCCTCGTTACAAGAGCAATACAGTTCAGCGACTGTTTCTCATACCCACCGCACTGAGTGTTCATGTCAGACATGGTCTGGACTGAGCAGCTGGGGGGGTGGGGTGGAGAAATGAGACAAAAAAGCTTTGAACCCTGGAAAACAAATCCAAAACACTCAACCGAACATATGTATCTTGGGAGAAATCAGAACCAAATCAAGCTCTCTACTTTGCAGCTCCAGACTTCGCTATACAATAGATTGATTTAAGGCACTGAATTGGGCCACACTCCCAGATTCTGAATAAAATGAACTCCGATCTGATCGCTTGCTAAGGGCAGCTTATCTGTAGCTATTGTTTGTCTTTGTAGATATTTGTCTGACTCCTAGTTTAGGTGCTGAGATGCGGAAGAAAACTTTTAGAGAACTTCATACAATTTATGCTTTATATGAACCTACTCTGAAAGCCACAAAAGAAATCTGGGGGAAGCTGGAGTAGCAGACAGCAACCACAGTCATCAAGAGTATTAGAAAAACCCAAACTCAAATTCTTTCCATTTGTCTTGTAGCCCTTTCTATCTCTTTCTTATTCTGGACTTTATTGGAAATACTGAGAGTCTGCAGCAAAGTTTAAACGTTTTTCTCTTTTCCAGTCACACACACGGCTGTGTCAGGCTGGGCGCAAATTCTGTAGCACATATAAGCTTACTGCAGTGGTCATATTTTGATTCAGATATATGATTACATCGCACATACCTGCAATTCATTTTCTTTCGGATAAGCGTTTACACTGATCAAGATAACCATTAATATGGATATTAAAAAAGAGAGTTATCGCAAAAGTAAAAGGATCCTTCAAAATGCTGTTTGGTTCTGGAGTGCTCTTTTGCTGTACTTTAACTGGCAGATATACTTTGAAATCAAGTACGGTCACCCCTAGGAAGGAACAGTGGCCTCTCACATTACGAAGCGGCAGCACTGCCCTGCATTTTTCAGGGGAGGAAAGACCTTGACTGTGCTATAGATCCTGCAGGGATGGGACGTCCCATGGCTCCTGAGCCTGTACGTTTGTTGCAATACAAGAGTTTCTTCCCAATTGAGATATATTATCGGATCCAGACGATATTTTAAACACCAGGAATCTTTGTCAGACAACACAGCTTTCAAAGAAAAAGCTGCTTAACTGCTAAAGGGATATTTTAACCTATTTTTAGAAAAGGAATACTCATCGCTAAATGTATTAATTAACAATCCAGAATTCCAGCAACAGGCTACCACAGAAATAGTTTTCAGCATTAATAATTACAATTAAACTGCAGAGTTTACATGTTATTGGACTACTTATAGAATTTTCCACATTATAGGTAAACCCTGGCCGCGCTCATGGGCCTGTCTCACTGGAGGCTGTGCTCATCCGTTGCTGATGACAACTCCGAGGGAAAAACCACAGCCCGCACCTGCGCAGTACTAACCAGCACGTACTACCCAAATGCAAAATCATCGTTCACTTTAACATTTAACACTTTAACTAAACAGGTGAAGGATTTATTTGTGTGTATCCAGTATTTTGGGCAGGTATCTCACTTGCTGCGCTGATGGGTGGCTCAGCAGATGAGGGGATTGATTTTGTATACACAATGGGATGTCAAGCAGAACCTAACTGGAACTAAAGCAATTCCTTGCTCCGGGACCAAACTAAATATTCTGTGATTCTTCTCTTGTGCTCCTCTCATTGCTCTCTTTCCTCACTTGAAGATGTCCCTGCTCATGGCAGAGGGGTTGGACTAGATGACCGTTAAAGGTCCCTTCCAACCCAACTATTCCATGACTCCTAGCAGATCACTCTGCATGAAACAGTACTCCAGCTACAGTGCCCTCAACATACATACTCAGCAAGGAGATGCAGCCCCCTGCCACTACAACAAGCAATTCCGGCTACAATTTTTGCAGCTCCACCATCAGTAATGGTGAGGAGCATTAGAAGGGATGAAGATACTGATCAGCAATTTTTGGAGGACTTTTAATGAGAGAGAGGCCCTCTGTGCAACGCTGTAACCAGCACCGCCTGGTGAGAGATCATGTCGTAGCCCCGGGACGACCAACAGTAACTACTGCAGAACTTCAGGCTTCAGTCTTTATTTTGGTCACTTGGGCAGAACTTACCATTAGGCTGTACAAGCGTAAACACAATATAAGAGCTGCCTTTTACTGCTAGCCCTAATACAGGAGATTGATTGTGTGTCAGAATCAAGCCGTGCCAACTGCCTCATCCATCTCCTGTCCCTCCATTCAGCCTTCTCTCTATCACCTTTGACATGTACTCTTCCCCCGTCCTCTTCAGGCTGACAGGCACTCCAGTAGAGGTGGCAGATCCTTGTGAGCAAAACCAGGGGAGATTCAGCCTATGCAGAGCAGTCTAACTAGTGCAAATGGGAAATCTAACACTGAATATTTTATATTTCAAGAATACATGCATTTATAACAAGAAGCGATGACAAACAAGACGAGGGAAGCAAATCTATTCACACATGAAAAAAACCTTCAGGTTTGGGAAAGCTTAGCCCTTCCTCTTGAGCAGGGGCATCAAGGACATTGGGCTATAACTTGGTACACTTTTTGCAAACCAGACAGCAACATCATAACTGTTGGACAGAATAAGCCAAATTGCTTTCATTCCTCAGAGGAGCCTAAAATCGGTGAAAGGAAAGAATGAATCAAAAAGGAAGTAAGTTTTGATTCCATACTCATCTGTTTCTTACAGGACTTTGGAAGGAGTTTGTTTCATTGCTATTTTATAAATTCATTTCATGCTGCACATTTTAGAACATTCATTAAAAAAGAAAAACATTTCAGTATTAATAGTACGCTACAGTTGGATGAAAAGCAGATCAAATGCTGTGTATTACAACACCTAAGATTAAACAGGAAAAAAATTTCTAAACTCAGAGCCATTAAGCAACAGAGATGTTGAGTAAAAAAAAAAAAAAATCAAAGTGCTTTTTTTTTTTAATTTTATTTATTTTAAACAGGTATGCCAGTAGCTGCCCAACAGCATTTCCTCAAAGTCTCAAGCTAAATCTTGGACTTACAGAAATACCACATACGAAGGGGTTGGTGGTAAGGAGGTGAACAGAAAAGACACCCTATTCTAGAGGAAGCACTCCTGCCTCTGAAACAAGTGCTGCTCTGCCAGGCATTAAACGCTCTTACTCAGCAGCAAACGCTGTTCACAGTGTACTGCTACTGGGGAACAGCTACTAAGCTGCTGGAAGCTAAAACTAAGTAAGAAATTGCAGCTCTTCTCCAATTTGAATGTAAAGGTGAAAAAAATTAGCAACTAAAGTAATTTATCAAGAATTATCCATCGTTCAGTCTTTCACTAACAACAAGTTTTGTATTAAATGTCAATTGTGTACTTCATTTGTAACGAACATCGTCTCATTGAAATTACTTATCTCAAGCAGAAATTATCGTTAATTGAAAATACTCCTTAGTTTAACCTCCTTTAGGATAGTCACCGGAGGTATGCAAGCAGACTAACCACAAGCCAACTCCACATTCAACAGCTATTCATAGCTTCTCTTCAGGATTATCCAAGACATTCCCAAGTCTCATTCTGCAGATCTGTCACTTCCTTTTTTTGGCTCCCATCCAAATCATGTCTTTACATCATTTTGCCTTGATTGTAAGATCTGAAGCCTGTAATATTTACTTCATTGTTTGGGAAATAACAGGCTAGAAGAAACTCCAAAAGACTGCATTCATCCAAACGTATTGGCACAGAGAAAACCAAAAAGATGGGGAAGTCAAATGGAAGTGAGGTTGTAAATTCTATATGCTGATTAATAACAGAATAGCAAAAAATGTCATTAGACATGGGGCATGGGGTGAATTTTCAAATAGCTTATAAAGTATAATTAAACATTGGCTCCACCACTTTTTCTTTCCTTTTTAGATCAAATACTGATCTCTGTTCAGCCTTAACTACACCAAGCCAAAAACGTTAATGCCTGTGTTTTATCCAGATTTTTCCCCAGACCATCTTGATAGGTTATTTGACAGACTGACCATATTTTAATGCGTGTTCCAAAAAACCAAATTCCTACTTAGCCTTTTACCTTACAGGCATTATTGTAACTGCCTGTCTTTCTGGAGGGAATGAAATTTCTGTGCTCTGGCAGAGAAAAATGAAAAAATGCATTAGTTGGCACCCAATAGCCTACAAAGTTATCCTAGAGCTTTGCAGCATGTGCTACAGTCTCCTGTGCACCAAAGGATATTTTGACACCTCGTCTATCATGTTTTTTGTGACCTTTTATCACAAAAATAGATCCAACCGAGCTCCAGACACTTTGTTTGGAGCCAGAGTTTGTGTTCAGAAGGGCCACTGGCTTATGGATGGAATATGCTATTCCATCTGGGGCTCATTAAGAATAATTTTCCCCTGTTTACACTTTGAGATTAGTTTAGAACTTTAAGGCTGTCACTCCATTTTTAGTTTTCATACACTTAAAAGGGAAGGTTAAATACAGAGGTGACAGGAAATCTGGGACTGAGTTGTGGTAAAACTCTAGGGAAGGAAACAAGTGTGGCATATTACAGTTGTAATGTCAAGAATAATAGTGCTTGAATAAAGCCAAGGCTATACAATGCCACATTTGCATGCAGTAGCGTCTGCAGGTCAGCGATGCTCATTTAAACAGATCTTGTACTCAAGATTTCTTGGAGCATTTACCTAAAGCAAGAAGTCAGTTGTTTTAGCTTAGTGCCACGACACACAGGGGACTAGAACAAAAGGACAACATCACGTGCCTTCCCAGTGATCTCCATTTGGACATTAACAGCAAACGAAATCTGTTGTCCACCTGGAGAATACATTTTGGCAGAAGTACACAAGGTCAGTCAGATAGAACTGCAAAATGTTGGGTTTGTATGCAAATTGAAGTGCACTGTCAAACAGACGAAGCAATAACTTTGCTTAGCTAATAACAGGCACCACATCTACTGCTGCAGATGACTTTATAAGTTCCCTACTTTAACACAATATAGCTTCGAAATCTGCTTTTCATATTATACAAGACCATGTAGATTTTTGCCTCAACACAACTTTTTGTGCTGCTTTTGGAGGCAGTTACGACTTTTAAACAATGATGCTAGCTGTTAGAAGACAGCAGATAGTATAGGAGCAAAACCAGTCACACGGATAACGTCACACACTAATTTTCAAGTGTGAGTTCTGAAGGGTTTAGAAAAGTCCTGCCACTTTCAGTAAGGAAGCACGGCACTTTTTATCTGAACCAGTTGGGCAATGGGAAGATTTCTTTCCCTTTAGTTTCCTAAAAAATTAAGTCAGAAATATGGTTCACGTGATTCTCCTCCTAGCAGGGGATACTATTTAAAATGTTACTTTGTAGGCTTGTGACCATTTGTACTGTATAACCTTAGTCTCAGAACACTATTAGAGCTTGCTAAAATCAACTACTTTTAAGTATTTCTGCTTTAATTATCAGAGGTTGCATAACAGCTCTACCCTTTTAGTTAATTAGCGCATAAAGCAAACCTGTCAGGTTCTTAGCCACCATTTCTGAAGAGACTCTTTAGGATTTTGCTTGGACTTGCCCCAGTGATTACATAAAAGGAATACACTTCCAACAACTGCAGATCTTGACCAGAAAGAAATATTTAGTTCGAAAATATTTTTTTAGAAAATCTCTTTCACATAAAGCCTGGATGGACAGAGAGATCATGCATACATGCACACCTACCTGTAATGAAAAAAAAGATTATATCATAGCTTATATATTTATATTCTACCAGTCCACCCACACTATTAACATAAACATCAAATCACAATTTCTTGCATGGAAGAATTATCTTCCATTTGTTCTAAGCACTGAAATATGAAGAACAGGTGTTTGGATTTAATTCCAAATGAGAAATGCAGCTTTTTGGCACGGAAACAGTTTAGCAAATGGAGAAGGGTGAAATGTAGAGATTTGTTGGCCTGTTTCTGTGTTTACTTGCAGCAGTATGACACTTACGAGTCGCACTGTTAAATAATATCCCAAAAATGGAGATGGAAGTGATCAAATTAACATAGTCAGATCATGGGTCAGGTCAGAACACACACACAGAGGGGGGTAAGATCCTTAAGAGCACTCAGTACTAGTTTATAACAGCTCTACTGATACACAGAAAAATCTTCCTTTGCCTCAAAGGAATTCTTTTAGAATGAAAATGAGTGAGTCAGATCAATGCTAAATACTTTTCAGTGCTAAACGCTAAAAGATTTAGGACTTGATTTTGTGTCCTCTAAACTCACCCAGGCCAAGGGGTTTGACTTCATTGCTTATGTCCATTACTTTGTTCAGATCCATCGTCACCCTTGTTCATAGGGTAATTTTTTGAAGGTCCTCCATATCAGCCAGAGTTTAAGTTTTGACATGTTAGACACTTCACAATAGGGACAAGCAAAAGGTTTAACTTATCACTGATAATTTTTAAAACTAGAAGGACGTATCATGCATTCTGGCTGAAAAGTCATTAGGATTAAGATTGTCAGCGTATTACAGCTGCATAGCATAGTCCCTACACAATTACGTATATAAAGCAAAACCAAAAAAAAACCAACCCAAAAAACAGAACAGAGAAAAAAAACAAACCCAAAACTAAAAGCAAAAAGCACAGAACAATAGTCTGTTTAACTTAACCTCTTGAACTTTATCATTAGGCTTGCTGTTCTATTGTTGTTATTATGTTTTCGCTTTGCTTTCTTTTTTGAGCTTACTAACAATACTCAAGAAGTTAGGTCAAACTTCTTCAATGAATGAAAACACAATGATAAGGAATAATAATAAAAAAGAAATAAAGAGCATGGGTCAGCAAATGTAGATTGCATTGGCAGCCAGGCACCATTCCCAGCTCTTCCACTCACCCGCCATGTAATTAAGGGCAAATCTTTTCACCACTCTAAACAATTCTCTTCTCTGTCTGCCGTCTCCTTAAATTTTTTGGCAGCCCAAAGAATAATATTTGTATATCCTCATACATGCATATACACGTATATGTATGTATATATACATACACACTGTGTGGCATGGGGGGGGGGTCTGTTTAGAGGCTATAAAAAGAATAATAATCATAATCTGTTGTAATTTAAATAATAAAATAGGAAATAGCCTTAGTTTAATAGTACTCTAAAAAAAAAAAATCTGCTAAGGCTTTCAAAAAAAAAACCAACCTACAAACCATCCATTCTAGCCCTAAAATCTCACCAAAACCACTGGAAGCGAAACCCCTCAGGTCCAAACCACACAGAATGGATCCAAACGCGTCTGAATCAGATCTATTTGCCAACATATTTCTACTCCTACCACAATTAATACCTCCAACAGACATCCCTGGATTTTATTCCATAAACATGCCGATGAACCTAAAGCAACCAAATTGAACTCATGCAGGAAATCTATAAAGAAAAAGAACACCTAACTGTCAGTGGAGGAACACTTCTCAGATAACAGTCATTTAATTTGTAACCTCTCAGTCCTTAAGGAAAAGCTATTTAACATCTTCCAAACACAAGCCTGGGAACTGAGACTGACAAGTGGATATGAGACAAGTGGTAAATGAGATTTAATGATAGTAGTTCTATGGCACATTGTGACCTCCCCTCCTCCCTTCTTTCTTCATCTTAGGGATATAAATCTTTCCCCTTAGGAGAACGTATTACCATCTCTTTGCCTTCCTGCACCTTTCTTCTCTTCCAGTCTCTCTCACCAAATCTACCTTACCTTTCGGAGATGGTTCATAATGGAACTATGAGCTGACTTTTGTTTAGCTTTCAGATCTACTGTGTCCATTTCAGGGACTGAAGAGGAGCTTGAATGTCTGAACCCTTCTTAAATTTTTCCAGCTATGCTGCCGTATCTAACAAATGTCTTAAATTTATCTACAAAGCCCATCTCAGTTACACCCTCAATCAGAGTTATCCCAAAACAACTGTACTTGGTTAACGACTGTTTGGGTTTTTTGTTTGTTTGTTGGTTTGGGTTTTTTTTAAAAAAAAGTTATATGGTAAAACACAGATATTTTTAGACCTCATTTTTATCTATACCCCTTTGCCTAATGTTTCTTAATGACAGGTTTAGGGCTTTCAGAGGCTGTTAGACAGAGATGGTTCCTGGACTATGTATTATCCATATCATTCGCAGCACTCACCTTTCCACCCTCATCAAATTTTCCCACGTGAAAAAACCATTCTCGAGAACAGAACCAGGTAGGCATAATCACAGTAGGTCCATGGGAGGTAAAAACCTAGGAAAAAGGTGAAAAAGGCCAGTCTTAATTCAAAGAACGTCAAAACCAGCATCTGTTGGGGAACAAAGCAGACCTTAGACATTCACCTGAAATCCTGCCTCCTATATTTAACCTTCAGCAATTTTAAGCACTGAGAAATGCAAATGCTTAAAATTTAGCATGTGCTTAGTGTTTAAGATGTGGTGTACACCAGCACCTTTGAGGTGTCACAGCCCAACAGACTGATCTCCTTCCTGCTTTGTACTCCATAACCTTCTCTTCTATCATAAGTTGCAACACATGCAGAGTACTTCAAACTATTTCAAATTTAGACAGGTATACTGGAAATGACACGTCTATTAATGATGGCAATGTTGATATTGAAGCAAATGAATTGAGAAGAATCTTAAAAAGTTGAAGTTCTTAAACTGAACCCTACAATCATTGTGCACTGATTTACCATTTTATATTCCTTGTCTATACATTAAGGAGGAACTTGCATTGATCTTTTATTTCCACCAAAGACACTTAAATCTTAATGAAGCTTGGACAACAAGATGCGATTTATTCTAAACATTACCAGAGCAGTATAGATTTGCTACCCAGTGGTACCAACCTTAAAAGGTTGTTGTAAAGAAAACGCTTTAGGGACTGAAAAGGGAGTGGCTATTAATTTCATCCTCTCAACTAGTGACAGCCAAGAACTATACAAATTGTTCTTTGCAGCTTTAAACAAACTTGTTGTAAACACAACTATGAAATAAACCAGAATCTGGATTACGGAAGGTAAACCGGTTCCTTCTTTTATTACAAGATGAAGTATCTAGCCAAACAAGAGACTGAACTTGTCAAACAGAATGTGCAAAGTTAAGACAGGAGACTGCGCCTGCTTCCAAGAACTACGCAGGAAATAAAGAGCACAGCCTGCTTTACAAGGGCAGAAGAAAGAACCCTCACAATTACTGCCAGTCTCCAAACACTAATGAAAATGCTGATCTTGTGAGCAGATGATGTCATAGCATGCTGTAGTGGTAACATTAATATTCCTGTAAAGTTGAACTTTTTAAACATCAGTGCATGAATGTACATTTTATCACATGCATCCAAGTATTTACATTTTAAAGGTGTTTCTCTTGATTTCAACCTGGGATGGAGCTCCTTATACTCCTCTTATGTCTGGCAATTGCATTTTCCACAGACAAACACAGATTTAAAGCCCAAATTTTACACACTCGGTTCTACACAGACACTTTGACCAATTCTCCAAGCAAATTAAATTAGAAATCTAATCAAACCTCAACATGTGATCTACTCCCACTTTTCTTATGGTCTGAATCATCTGACCAAGCACAGGCACCCAACCGCAGGATGAAACACCACATGCTAACTTCAGGAACAGAATGATAGAATTTCGCTGTCCGTAAAGGGGTCCGAGGGTGACTCATCTCGATATAGAAACTTAAATTTTTGGCAGTCGTATTTAGTCAGAATAGTCCTATCACTTAATGGCTATGATTTAACACATTAGCAACTAATTCATAACTGCAACACCCTGGCCTTCAGAGGTGCTAAATGTCAAAAACTCCCCCCAAGAAGTCAGTGGGAGCTGAAAGAGTCAAAACAATCCCAGAAAACCAGAGCAGACATGATTAGTCAGTACATGGTTATTAGCTCCACGCTAATTACAAGGGCAATTGAATATGGTCTGAACTGAACAATGACCAAACAGTAATCCCAAAAGAAAACAACAGTAGGGAGAAAAGCTGGGCTAGAATGCACTGCATTGAATCTCATTTCTGAATGAAAGAAAATCTTCAAAAGAAAGTCCTGAGCCTATTGGAACACATGTGTTTGGAGAGGCTAGAATGTTGTTTCCTCAGTTCAGCCAGGTTCATCAGAGAACATAAATGCACTTAATCATAAGAGGTAGCTCAATGTAATTAGTCATGCTTACGTGCAAATGGCATAAATCCCATACATCTTAGATAATCTGCGTTCCATTGACGTATATAGCTAAGTGAAACCAAATAGAACACATGTGAAACACTGAGAAAGAAAAAAAAAAAAAACAATCACTTCTGTTAACATAGATAATGATGATTATATAGTAGACCATCACACACTGCATCCACTGATGTCTTTCCTAAATCACACAGTGCTCTATGGATCACTGTCCGTCTCAGAAAAGATACTAGAGGGGAATCACACAGACAAAGCGGAGACTGATGATGAGGTGGCCAGACAGCCACATAGGATTCAGGGTCTTATCCTTCAAGAAAATCTTTGGACCTGGAACAGTACACCAACTAAGAGCCAATGAACTGGTAAAAAAGCTTTTTCCATAGCAATATTTATAATGCAACACCAAAATAAACTTTAGGAAATTTAAATTTGTGCTGCTGCCACAACAGACAAATCCATCCTCCCCCGTCCCTTGCTATGCTAACAATAACATTTGTGAAGCTGCAATTCTTCTTTTTATTAGCTTAGTTTTGAGCTGGATCTGCTCCCTGATCCAATGAACCACAAAAACACCAGTGTTACCACAAAGGAGTATGTATGAAAACAGGGCACCAAACACAGAGAGGACAGCAAGACCATTCTTTTCAGCAGCAGTATAGATAATTCATAAATAATCTTTAACCTGATAGGGGAAACTATATGCTTAAAGTCTAGATTTAAGGGATGTCTATGTTAATTTAAGAGCTCTCCCACTCCTCCTGCCTCAGGCTACACATCCCAGTCCCTTACAACAGCATTGCCACTCACCTGACCCCACGGTCAGCCAGATCGAGCACTACATCAGTGAGAAAGCAATTAGGTTCTTTTTTTATTATTGTTTTAGTTTTCTGTAGCCTTAGTTGTCTCAATTGGTTCACTCTGGGGTCAGACTAGCAATACTGCTGACATACTGGAGGGGGAAGGAACAAGCTTTGGAGAAGAAAACAAGACCTCCCTTTTTGTTCATTGCCCACAGTTAATCAGTCCAGCTGTAACGTAAAACTGCACCCTCCGTCTGAATCCTTACAGTGATGGGAGGAGAACTGGCTCAGGAAAAACACTAAACTCCTAACAACTGTATTGAAACACTACAGCATCTGCCAAACCTTTGAAAGCTACCTTCAAGAGCTTTTGAAATTTCATCTGCAAGAGAAGAAAAATAACCTCAACCTTCTGCAGTTTGGAAATCCTAAATTTCAGCTTGCTTTAGTCAGATGGGAAGTCCCCTCTGGATTTCTTTTTTTGCCTACTCCTGTCATACACACTTGCCAAGGTGTTAAAAAATGGTCAAATTGGCTGACTCCATGATAAAAACTGCAACTTCTCACTTTGTGAGATTGCCACTCAAGATTTTACCCATAAATCTTTTAGACTGTGGGGACTGGAACAAAAGAAACAAAGAAGATATGGGTAGCCTTCATCTGAGAATCAATCAAAAGCAGAATTTGAATGATGATGCAGCTCTGTAACTGCTATGTTTACTTTTCTTGGAAACATTCTCCAGCACTGCCCAACAAATGTCTTGTATCACCTTGGAACCTCAATGGGTTTTCAGTCCTCCTCGAGGAGTTAATTCAGTGCATTGGAAAGCAGTTTGGACCTGTGAACCTTTCACACACAGCGGTACTGGAATATTAATGCTTAATAGTAGCTGTCATTTATTATAGTACACGGTATGCTGTAAAGATTATCCAAATATAACCTAGCGGAATGAAACGAACTTGTTAAAAACTAACTACAGAGGCTTGCAGATGAAGGTATAAACCTGTTCAGATTTAGAATTCCCGAAGAACACAGTGTTGTCATAACCAAATTGGAATCCACCTTCAATCAGTTTCCAGGTGATGGAGACAGGCTACTATTTCAGCACCATATTTGTTAAATTATTTAGAACTTTTATTGTCATCTGTCCTGGTTCCGGCAGGGATGGGGTTAATCTCCCCCGGAGCCGGCAGGGGCAGGTATTCCATCCCACGTGAGCCATCCCGGGCTATAAGAGGCGCTGCCGGGGCGAGGAGAGGAGTCGCCACTCGGGAGTGGGCTGCAGCGGTGCAGGTCCGGTCGGTGCGCTTCGCGGCGGTACTGTAATCGCGTTTTTGTCTTTTCCTTTTGCTGTTCTGTTAAATTGCACTCTTTTAACCCACGAGTTTGGCCCTGTCGTTTTCTTTTTCCACGACTGTGGGAGTTGTGCGAGCGGCTGCGTGGTTCTTTGTTGCTGGCTGAGGCCAAACCACGACAGTTCTTTTTGGCGCCCAACGTGGGGCACGAAGGATTGCAACAACAAATTTCTTGTATTCATTTCCCATATTGGTTGGATAGATGCTGGTTACAATGTTACTTCGTTTGTTTGCGTGTCTGTGCTTTGCAAATTCTTACATGCTCTATCTACTCCCCGTGATGCTGTTTGTTATCTCGTGGAGAGGGATCAGGGCTATAATTTTGCTGTCATTTGCAATTTCAGCTTATGATATGATAACATCACTATTGAAGTGGCTTTGTTGGGGTGTCTATGCGGTATTGCTGTCTTGTCCGTACCTTGGTTATCATCTTTCAGAAGTTATTAATAATATCACCCAATCTATGGGAGAAACAGGGGGAGATACTTTCCCCAGCTCTTTTGCCTCCCTTTTCTCCTTTGGGCCAGATATGACACCTCTTGAGAACTTTGAATATCCTTGGGATGCTCAAACCAGCATGTTTCTATTGCTATGCCTGCTGAATGTTTTTCAGATCTTGTTTAGGGTTAAGCAACTGTTTAAGTCTACCACCCAGAGATCTGCCCCAAGGCTGGATAGTCAGGGGTGGCATGGCATGTGGGAGAATATGGGCAGGTATCTAGAGAATTTCTCACCTCCAATGGTTTGGGACTTCACCCTCGAACAACTCCAGGACCCTGATAAAGTAATAGAATATTTGAAAGGAAAATGCTGTGGCTACTCCAGAGAGGCACAACTTACGGCACTGTGCTGGGCCCTGGCCAGTATCTACCAAACACTGCTCAGTACCATGCAAGACCC